GAAAACTCAATTCAAAACAATTATAAAGAATTGGTTCGATACATGTTCGTGCAAGAAAATTCGACTGAAATACGTGAGCCATCCGTTAGTTAACTTAATAAGTAACGTAAGTTTAAGAAGAACGACGAACTGACTAACAACAAAATCGCCGAATTAACTAACAGCAAAAACGCCGACGAACTAACTAACAACAAAAACGTCGAATAACGGAAACGCCGAACTAACTAAAACCATGAACAATTCAGTAGCAGATAACAAGCAGACTTTTTAAAAATAAGTCATTTTCTTAAAAAGTGTGATTTATTTTGCGCATGACAAGTTCGTTTCAATTCATGACAATTATTTTATGTAGGAAACAAGCAAAGAGCACTTTATGATTGCACGAGCGGAAGTGGGAGCAAATAAACTTTTAGAAATATATAACAAAACATGTGCACAAAAAATTCGTTACCGGTACACCCAAATTTCTAACTATTATTTAGCCAATTCCATTTTAAAATGGCTCGTGAGGGAAAATTTAAAATGATATTTGAGCAGCATGTTGGTCCTGGTGTCGTCCATGTGTAAATTTAATTGGGAAAATAGATCAAAACATTTAACTGAGTTATAAAATTCCAAAGTATTTTCTTTAGTAGAAAAAATAGATTTGTTACAGATAGCGCTACGAAAAAAAATTCGTTAAAAACCAAAACAAAGATATAGCAACAAGCACATGGAAAAGTTCGTATGGTCCGCTGGTTCGTTCCGTGGCTTAGTTAGTATAGCGTCTGTCACGTTTAGCTCGAAGAATCAAAGACTTTTTTCGTAGTGTTCTATCTTTGTCTTAATAATTATTTTCGTTAGATTTTATTGTCACTGACAGCAAATATCATTTCTAATTTTTCGTTATGCTGAAATGCTGTAGCTACTTCAATCCAAGCGGTACACATGGAAGCACGTTCTATTTTGTATGCGGTTAGCGCGCCGTGATAATTCGTTCGTAGTAAAGTACACCACGCAAATATTTGCCTGCACAAAGCTTATACAGGTGCAAATATTCAAGTAATTAACCCAATCCATTAGAAATTTGCATTAATATTTAATAATTAAAATCGAGTTGATCGTAACTATTGGACTCGCAGGCAATAAATTAAGGTCGACTGCAAAGAATGCGAAAAATACATGAAATCACGAGATTATAAAATTTTATATATAATTTAATACTAAAAGGACAAGCTTGAGATTGCAGTGGGTGCCGTTATACATATATTGGCTTCTTAGGAATGAGAAGGCTGACCGGTTAGCTATTGCGACTGCTTTAGATGGGCCTGAGGTTGACATTGTACCCAACTGCTCAAGTGTTTGCGAATTATAAAGGCCAAGTTCCATTTTCGTAGGAGGAAGTCTTTTGATGGGAGGTCCTGGGAAAATCTGGTACGAGACCATGCAGTGTTCTTTTTCTAGTTCTTTTCACTTTGTATTCTTTTCACTTCACTTTGTATTTCAGTTCATATCGTCCACTTCAAGGTCATTTCTCCAAATTGCGTAATTTTCGGAATTCCTGACGTATATAGTATATGTATCATTTGCTCATGGAGTATGTTCGGATGGAACCTATCAGGGTGTGGTTTTTTGCGCACATTGCTTTTGGCACACCTCATGTCGAGTAGTTTCAGTCCCTTTTTGTCTACGCCAACAAGTTTAGTTAGTACCTAGTTTAGTATTTATTTAAAGTAGACACTCACGATCTCAGTATTAAGGAAACCCAGAGTCGCGGGTGCCATGGACAACCACAAATTACACCCAGACTCATAAGTGTAGGTCCTACAAATATTTCTCTCGGTTCGAGAATCGAACCCGGGACTTCTGCGTGACAGACACAGCACGGTAACCGTCTGGCCGTCTGGTTTAAGTTATTTATTTTACTGTTTAGATTCTGTGTTTTCTTGATGTATTGTTTTTCCAGAGGGATTGACATCTAAAGTCAAAATGTTACAATACTAAATAAAAATAAATAAAAAATAAATAATAATAATAATATTAATAAGTAATAATGCACACACTCTACATAGCCCCGCACTAGGGAAACACTGTGTCGCGGGTGCCATGGACACACATATTACAAACACATATTCAAATTACACAGAGAAATAAATGTAGGCTATACAAATATTCCTCCAGGCCCGGGAATCAAATCTGGGACCTCTGCGTGGCAGTCTGGCATGGTAACCATTCGGCCACAGAGGCAGTTATAATATATAAAATGCAAAAAATTAAATACAATTTAATCATACACTTTTAACTTCTCGTGGATATTTGCGCGACAGGCTCTTGTGCTTGTAATGTATTGATACTGAGAGGGCCTATGTTTTGAGATAAAATATTAATATTAACGATACCTACTTTAAGTCTCGATGTCCTAAAATAAATATTTAATTACAATACTTCAACAAGGTTATGACAGAATATCAGAGGCCGTGGGTTCCCCGCGACCACTGAGTCATAGACCGTTTTGTCTTGTTAATTAACCGACTTCAAAAAGGAGGAGGCTCTCAATTCGACTGTATGTTCTTTTTTTCTTTTTTTTTGTATGTTTCGCGATAACTCCGGTATTTGTGCACCGATTTTCATGATTCTTTTTTTGTTGGAAAGGGGGTACTTCCATAGTGGTCCCATTTCATTTTGAAGAAAATCATTCACCTCGAAGGGTGGCTGTTCACGCATGAAGATTCATTTTTATAAATAGCGCCTAACTTTAATTTAGGAGCAATTACTTTAATGGTTAATTTTGCTATTTCTCCAATTCAAGGCGTTTTTTCTCTCAATATACTTTGTGTAGTGTCGTAGTGAGAACCTATTTTTATTATCTCCAATGTCAAGTCCTGTATAGTGGCAAACTAGGGGATATTTCAATGAAACTTAGCAAATAGACGTACTTTTGAGGTCGGTTTTTTTAGTACTCTGTACTGAGATTATTATCACTGTCTCTGATTTTATTGTAAAATGTAATACAGTTTTCAAGATAAATAAATGAGTTTATTATTACTATTATTTATTATATATTCTATTAAAATTTATAATACTAAAGTTATTATAAATTTTAATAGCAACACAAATGTTTTGAAGGTGTATTTTGTTGTTATGATAAATCGCGTAGAGATCCAAGAATTTATTTTTTCTATTTTTTATTGGAAGGTTATGAATAAAATGTTATTCATCATCGATAGTCGTCCGTTTTATTTTCAGCTTGACAATGGTACTTATTTCTATTTACAAAAATTTCGCACTGGTTACGCTTCAAAGACCTAGAGATAATCCCGGCAGTCGAGAATTATTAGGTCGTTCAATAAAGAGAATTGCGAAGGACTATTTATGCAAAGTAGATAAAGGGCACCTTTTTACCCGGCGCATCCATACAGATGTGATCGTATATCCCTTTGCATTATTAACTTTAGGTGATTTACGTTACTCTGTTAATTGCATTGGTGGGTTAGGAAAATTTCACGAATTTAATTCAAAGTCCTGTCCCTTCCCTATTTGTTTAAGGTCAGATATACTAACTTAATACAGTGTTCACGTTTGATCAGATATAATCGTACTAATGTAATACATTGTTTACGTTGGAACTTTTCCTGTTGCGGAGTTACCACACTTATCGACACGGAATCGCATTAAGCCTGTCATAAAATTTATATCCATGTAATAAGAGCGAAAACGACGTCGTGCGTTTAACATCGGCTCGTACTACTCGGTTCGACACAGATCGGTAAGGAATCTGCTTCCGGCGAATATCCGATCGCGTCCGTCCGCAGCCGATGACGGCTGTTAGGAGGCTTCGATACCCGAATGACCGCGTAGGCGATCAAGCTGTAGCTTTAACGCCCGAACAGTAGGGATAACGCTTTAACAGTAGGATTAACGCCAATACCCGCCAGCACAGATTTTAAGGCTACATTTCTTGCCCCCCTATCCGAGACAGTGACTAAACACTAGTACCAACGCCCAAATTGCAGTACCAAACAATGGTTCCAATACAAACATTGTCAAAAGTTCGACAGTTTAGAAATGGTTTAAACGCAAAACTGCCAACAGTTTGACAGATAATTAAAGGAAACCTTAGTTCACATGCAACTGGCTTAGGTTTGACATTCAATTAAACAATGAAACAATGGTTTAAAAGCTTTTAGTTAATAGAAACAATGGTTCAATGCAACACTCTCAAAGTTTGAGAGACTTTAGTAGAAACAGAGGTTCTAACAGTGACATAGTCCAAAGTTTTACTGAGTCGAAAAGACAAATCACATGGGACTTGTCAACTTAGGTCTCAGAGGGTGACGGGCGCAATGGCAGTGCCCATAAGATCTTAGCGATTTAAAACTATGAATGGCACTGCATCTGTTATGGACAGGCGTGTCGCTTACCATCAGGCGCACGACTTGTTCGTCCCGTTAATTGGTATTATAAAAAAACAAGAATATCGTTCCCATCCAATTGCTTTCCGCCGTTAGCAGATATTAACAAATGACCTCACCTGTGCTGCTCTCTATTTTTCGGTTACAGTCTTTTTGCGAGAAAAAAAACTAAGTTTTACATGCATAAATATCTGATAGAGATTTTTTATTTTACCAGCTTGCTAAATATTTTTTTAGTAGATTTTCTCGGTAACCCTGGTTCATTATGTACTAACTTGTGACATTTGAGGGAAAAAAATTAAATGGAAAGAGTGTTATACTTTTCGGACACAAACAGATAAAAGAACCATTACTTATATATACTAATAGCATAGATGGCGTAAAATGACTATTTTCAAAAATTCCGCAAAGTGGTAATTTGTACACCGATGTTTTCGTTAAACAACATGAATATAATACATTGCCGATTTCGGTCGTTAATGTCTTTAACGACACTCTACAAAACAGTCAATACGAACTATACGTTGCGGCATTTCAATACCCATCTATGAATGTTTGTTATATAGCGTAAGGGGTAGGTTTGCTTTATCAGTCCAAGCTCAGCCTCCGAGCTGAACGCAGGTGCTCACTGCGGGGGCGATTTTCCCCTCTCAAACTTTTTGAGTGTAAAATACGCGATATTGTGGCGCGCTGTAATACAGCGTGATTTTAAGTTTTATTTTAATTCGGATAAAGCTTCTGACAGTTTATGAGGTATTAGTGATGAAATTATATACCTATTCAGAATGAGAAAGTGAAATATGTTCGGATCGCAGTTATTTTTACCATACTTCGTGTGGAGACTCCGGGAAGGCGTTTCCTTTTTTTGGTAAGAAATATATTTAAGGTTTTTATTTTATTTTTATTAATTTTTTCTTTTTAATTATTATGACGTACCTTTAGCTAAAAAGGAAACAGCGCGTGTCTATTGTTAGGACAGTGATCATCTCAACGATTTAATGGTTTTAATGTTTTAAGTTAGTGGTAATTAACACTAACTGCTTTAGAAGCTTGTTAGTGGGTGAACGGTGTCGTTTCATTATGTGCGTTATTTAACTACCTTCGTTTAACAACACCTCGCAACTTTTTTGGAACAATGCATTTATTTTTCTAAACGCATACGGTTGATGGTACCGATGATCGACATTTTAATACGGTATAGTATCTTAAATTACGTGTCATAACATTTTAAGATAAAGTTCAAGTACTAGTTTGAAATAAAACTGTACGATAGACGCTACGTTTTCCACCGAATTTAATTTACAAACAATATTAAACATTCTACATCATAAAAGAATACAAGTATGACAGAGAAATAAGAAAAACAATTGTTAAAGTGTGTGTGTGTGTGTGTGTTTTTTTTGTGTCTGCTTGTGTGTGTGGGAGTGTGCTTGTGGGTGTGTATGTGTGTGTGCTTTGTGAATTTTAAGGGAAGTGTGTCATTTTAGAAATTAATTTACTTGACAGACATAATCCTCATAAAGATTATACTGTAAAAACATAAAAAAACTTTAACTACAATTTCTCTAAATCTCCAGTAATGAACACCAAAAATCCACTAATTAAATAACCAGCAATGGACACTCACCAATAATGAACACCCAGTAATTGACGCTTATTGATCAGAAACATGTCACTGTGATCCAAAATTGTGACCTAAACCTTAATAGAAATTAATTTAAAAAAGGATGTCGAACAGTTGGTCTCTGTCACAACCACTTTATAATTTCAAAACATAACAAACAATAGGATATTTTAATACAATTTTATCTACAAAATTGCTTATTCAAATGCTTTTGTAATATCGGGATCTTTTGCAATAGTTTAAAAATTCCATTTTCACTCGGTAGGGGACTGTAAGGGTGGCCATACACGGCCTGCTCGTATAGTAAGCCAATGATCAACATACACGGACCGCTCTTGCAGTCATAGTCAACAGCTTGAGGCTGCCTTTGATAACTGCTTGAGTAGTTGATACCAGTCACAATTCCAATTTCATTCAAACTAGTAACAACATGGATTTTGAGGAAGAGCACTACTTGATAGCTCGAGCAGTCAGTGCATGCCTGGCGACTGCTTGATTGCACGATGAAATTTACTGTAGTTTTCTAGGCCGCCCTAACGGTTTTCACGGTCTTAAAATACATGTAAAGCTACTATAGTAGAGTTCTGCGTCTAGAAGTCTGTAGTATAAAAAAATCTCTTCTGTATATATCAACCACCTTGAAATATTCCTTCATTAACAATTCTAGAAAGACTATAGACTTTATTATAGATCTAGAAAACGTGCCAAAAAACTACATACATTTCCCAATTGCTCTGGTTACGAATTATTATTATGTAGAGGAAACCGTAAAGTAATTAATAAAAGTATTCAACTAATAGCGCAAAAACATGGGGCTTCAAAAACAGAGCTTTTGACGTCAACAAAATTACTACAGTGTTTTTACAATTGTGTCTATGTTCTTGAGAAAATATTATTATCATGTACAATATGAAAATACATGAGCGACGTCATAATTTTTGTTTATTTGAATAATAAATAACACATAAAAGAAAAAATACAATTCTACAAGATATTACGAAGCCCAAATTTAGAATACTGAACTGTGACCAGCAGGATTGTTAAAAAAAAACATACAAAAATCACCCTATAAATCTTGAAACGAAGTGATGCTTTCATATTCAAAATGACGAATACATTCGTCCATGGTAGGGTTTTACTTCAAGCCGCTTACTGAAATTGCGACTAGGAAAACCCGTTGGAATTCAATTTCAGATCAATTGAACACAAAAGAGACGTCAAGTCAAGAACTTGTTTCGTTCGTCTAATTTTAACTTCCTTATTCTCGCAAAAAAGTTACATGACTTCCGTCTCTACACACAGTCGAGGCAAATAAGCCATCAAAATTTGAATTAATGTTATAAGTCTAATATTTTCAAATAATAAATAAAATTCAAATTACAGTCGACATTATTTTTTCTTTATTTGTTCATTATTGAAAAGCATCACCATTTGTCAGTATTTTATAGTAATTAGTGGTTAGCGGTGTTGCTGACTGATAAGTTTTAATTGTGTCTACTGTTTGTTGTCCCAAATAAATTTAAAAAAAAATCAGTGCGTTATTCCCGTTATTATATACGGAGTCGAAACGTGGATTCTCACGATACGACTAGTCCAGCTTAAAAGTTGCTCAGCGAGCTACGGAAGAAGCTCAGCGTTTCTCAGAAGAACAAAATACGAAATGTTAACTCCTTTCCACAGAGAACCAAGGTCGTCGACATAGCTGGTAGAACAAGCAAGCTGAAGAGACAGTGGGCTGGCCATATCTATCTCAGATAGCCGATTGTCTACATCTACTTGGAATGGACCTATCGTCCAATTTGAACTACGGCAGATACATTGAATCCATTGTCAAAAATGTAGCAAGGAAGCTTGGCATCCTTTCCAGGGTGAGACGTTACTCTACACCGGGACAGTTGCTTCAGCTGTACCAAGCACAAGTCCTTTCGTGCATGGAGTACTGCTGCCGCCTTAGGGATGGATCTGCTATATACCAAATCTGGCCACCTTGGATTCAATTGACAAGCGTGTCAAGAGGCTTATAAATAACTCGGAATTAGTAGAAGCGAAACTGCAGGGCTTTGGATACCGCCGTAACTTGCCTGCTTATCGGTATTCCATAGAATACATAACGAAGAGTGTGCGATGGAATTACACGATTTAATTCTGCCTTCTTCTTTCCATCACAGAGTGACTAGACGTGGGCTTGGAGGCCATGCGTATGTTGTGGACATTCCAAACATACACACGAAGCGTTTCGCTTCCACGTTTATATGGTGAACGGCTATGGAGTGGAATTCCCTGCCTGCAGACTTGTTCCATGAACGTTATAACTTGAGTGAATAGGCGTTACCTATGTGGATGCGCGTCCTTGAATGGAGACCAAGAGTCGGCAAACCTAGTGAAGGACTCCCTCTGGCCACATGGAGCGACGATCTGCGAAAGACTGCTTGCAGCAGATGGATGCGACAGGCTGAAGACCTCTGAGAGGCTTATGTCCAGGAGTCAACATCAGGCTTTTACACTTCAAACCGTCCTTTTCATTATTGGCATAGACTTGTTGACTATTTTGAAATTATTTCCTTACGTTTGTTAACCCCGCTATTATTCTTAATGTTGGTCTCGTGAAAGTTACTGTATCATGCTGCATTCAAAAATCAATTACATTGTAAACTTAGACACAAGCAGAGTAAATGGCGTAAAATCATGTTGTTTATAGATACGTTCAAATGGAACTGCCAAAGCGGCAAGTCAATTTCGTTTCGATATTGGCTTTGTCGGCTGTATTCTAAATTGACTTTCTTCGGAAAAGTCACGAGCAATCTTTGCAAACTTATATCCACATTTTATAACAAGACAAAGTTTTGTAAAATGAACAACTGTACGCAAATTTACTTTATTCTTGTGTAAATTCGAATTCATGCGATCGAAGACCGTAGCGTAGCGAAGCATCCGCTGACAAAACAAGCGATAATGTTAAGTCCATTTCTTCAATATATTTTCGGGTTCGTTATATATTTCAACGTCTTCTTTCGTACAATATCTTTCCGAAGTGAGTTTATTCTCAATCGCTGTCCTGCTATTAAGAATCGGGATTTTTTAAGAATTCGGTGGACTAAAGGTTGGCAATATGAATCGCTTGATGATGAGGTTCCGTGTTCGATTCCCGGTAAGACCAATTTGAGAAACGAACTCTTACAAATTGGCTCTAGTGTTAAGTTAGACTTAGTACAGCCTTACTAAACTTTTATTGCAAAAAATAAAATTTAAACAAAAATGCATTTTGACAAAGCAGAATAAGCAACCAAACTTTTAAAACAACAAGAACTCAAAATCAAACTCTCAACCACTCGACAAACCTGGTATTAGTCGCAGTAGATTTAACTTTTTATTTTTTTAATTAACGCTGAAATAAAAAAGGAAGCTTCCCCCTAGGAAGTCCCCTAGTGGCGGACACCTAAGAGAAGGACACATAAAAGAAAAAAGTCAAAAAATTTTAGAATCAAAATAAATGAACAAAAATACAATCTCTCCATAAACATACTTAGTAGTATGACTCAAACTTTGGTAACAAAAATGGCTAAAACTGCATGTGGCACCTATTATCGGACAGTCTTAACTTCTTAAAACATCATGCACTGATTCCATTTATTCAGGGATGTTCGAGAGGCCACGCACGGCAGCTGGAGCACTGCATCCAGTCTTCGTCGTGGTCCCCTTAGCATACTATAGCCATAACTTGGACCTTATCAAGGCTAGAGCGAATAGGCATTATTTAGGTTTGCATGCTACATCATAGACCTCATCATCACTTCCATTGTCCATCAGGTGAGATGCAGGTCAAATGTGCACTTATTTTTGCATTAGTTTCTGTGTTACACATTTGAGTTTAAGGGTTCCATTTTCTTTGCTTTGTATCCATTCTTTCCTTCGGCCTTTACTTCTTTGTTCTGCATCCCTTTCTCTCTTGTTGCTGTTCTGAACTCTTTTTGTCCTTAACATCTTTTTCTATCCTCTAAAACTACGTATAACATTTTTTTATATAATTATAAAAAATATAAATTAATACTTACCGAGAAAATCACATGTGTTTGCTGTCCTGTGATAAGGGACTACTTCGTGTTAAGTACTAGGGGACAGAAAATTCCTATAATTTCGTATTTTATAGCAAAAATACCTTAAAAATTTACAATGATTTATACAAACTTCGAATACTTATAGAACACTACGTATAATCCATGAACACGTAAATTCTAAAACATAGC